TGAAGGCTCCTGACCCAAATGTCCACTGAATCCCAGCAGCTTCTTTCTTCTGGTTCTCAGAGCTCTTCCTAGAGTCAAACCCTGAGCCTCTAGGGAGATGTCTACAGATGCCTGTGTACAACAGAAGGTAAAGTTCTCTGCAGGTGCCAAGCCCAGAGGTTGCTCTCTAGGATACTGATGACACCTTTGTTCTCATGTTACTGCAGAGCAGGGGCAGTGGCTGGTCTCTTACATCAGTAATTGAAGTGAAACTCTCTCCACTATCTGCACCCTTTAATGATTTGATTGAGGTGGGGGGTTTTTTTGTAGTTATATTTAGGAAGTCCAACATGTATCAAGGAAGCCATTTAAAAGGCTACAAGAAGGATTAATCAAATGCAGCTTGTTTATCTTTCCATTAGTGGAATCCATAAAGCTGAAAAGAAGGATTCTGAGATAAGAAGGATTTACTTGGGATCCTATAAAAAGCAAGCCCACCATCTTGCCTGTTTCTTTGCTAACATTGAGGGGAGACTTGAAAGAATTATATAGCCTCCAGTAACCCTAAGCTGGCCAGCACCCAGAAGCAGCAGATTACTATCATTGTTGCTGTCACATAAAAGATGCTCTCAGCATCTAGGGAGGGGTGTGTTAATGTCCCACTGCTCTTTGCAAGAAACAAGCTTTTAAGTATAGTACGGCTGGTGATGGATGATCATAATATTTCTTTGTCCTCCTTAAGACAGAGTAATTGTGCAGCATGCATGGTAGGCATTGGTCATTTTTAATATTTAAATGACATGTCGGTTGGAGATTAAAATTTATAAAGTTCAGTGAGAGCCCAGAGAAAAAGATGGGAAATAACTTCTATTCTCAAATGCTATAAAACACATGGTTCTCTCATTCCGGATTTAAGTATTAAAACATTATAGATTCCATTCTCCCTCTGCGCCTCTATCTCTGTCCGTCTGTTTCTCTGTCTTTCTATCTCTGTCTCTCAATCTCTTTCTCTTTGTCTATCTCTGTCTGTCTGTCTGTCTGTCTCTCTCTTTCTCTCTCTCTCTCTCACACACACACACACACACACAGACACAGACACTTGTATTTTTCATTAACAGAAGTTAATTTCATGAGGTTAGCCTCAGAGAAAAAGATTAAGCTTGGTTTCAAAAAACCTAAAATGTAACCTTAGGATGCAGCCTGTTAGCTAAGCAATTAGATAATGATGGGGAATCACAGCCACAGTCCTAAGTGGTGGAAAATAATGATAACTACCACAATAATGATTACTTTGAAACATCCTCAGACAGTGCAGAGATGATCTGATTATTTCCTTTCTCATCTCTTGTGGGAAAGGTGTTATTATTTCCATCTTGAAAGCAAATATGATATGTACTCTCAATTTGTAAGTGTCTTTTCTTCTGAGAAGCTTCATTATTTGTTTTCTTGTTCATCTTCAAAATATGAGACTCAGCCACCCCAAATTAAGTAATTTTGTAGATTCAGAGGCAGAATAATCTGTGCCTCTAGAATGACTCTTAAAAATTTGGTATTTTAATCAAATACACTAAGAAATTACAAAACATCCACAAATCTAAAAGGGTTGACACACAATAAATATAATTAGAAATTCTAATGCATTTAAGCTTTGATATACATGTATATATATATACATGTATATATTTATTTATACCTACCTCATCAACCCCACCACCACCTACTTTTGCAATAGAGACTGGGTAGGAGAGAAGACACAAACATAATTAACATGGGGTCTTCTTCCATACTTTGAATAAGCTCTGACTTCTACCAGGAGCTAAATTGCAAGGTCAAAGAGACATGAGAAGTGAAAGGATACCACATCAACAACTACAACAACAACCAACCCCCCAAAAAAGTGGCTGTTCCTGAATTCTATTTTTTTGTTTTGTTTTGTTTTTTGGAGCAAGAGAGACAAGCGTAGGGCTTGAACTCAGGGCCTGGGCACTGTCCCTGAGTGTTTTTGCTCTACTACTTGAGCCACAGCTTTACTTCCAACTTTTTATTGATTAATTGGAGATAAGACTCTTAAAGACTTCCCTGCCCAGGCTGGCTTTGAACTGCAACCCTCAGATCTCAGTCACCTTAGTAGTTAGGTATACAGGCATGACCCACGAGTGCCCGGCTTTAATTTTGCTTTTATTTGGCATATAGTAGTCATATAAAGTTCTGGCATACACTGCGAGTTAAATGCCACATCACAACAGGCTTTCAATGGACTGCACAGCTGCCATCATGAAATACTATAGAGTAGGAGGTTTGCACTACAGAAATGTTGTCACAGTTATTGGAGGGTGGGAATTCAAGATAGACTGTCTCAGGTCTCTTCCCCCTTAGTTTTCACATGTCTGTCTTGCTGTATCCTCAGGTGGTTGTTGCAGTGTGCTTTGTACTGTGTTGCAATGTGCAGACACAGTTTTTAAATTTTATTTTATTGTAAAGATGCTACACGGAGGGGTTAGAGTTATATGAGTAAGGGACTGAGTACATTTCTCGTCGAGCATTATTACCCTCGCCTTTGTTTTTCTCCTACTATCCTTTCCCTCCCCCACAGATACATTCTTGATGTGTCTGCTTTCTTTGACCTTTCCTTTTCTCTTCTTTTATACTTTTTATCCCTATGCCAGTTCTGGGGCTTGTAAAAGAGCCTGGGACACTATCCCTGAGCTTTTATGCTCAAAGCAGATGCTCTACCACTTGACCCACCTATGGTGGCTAATTAGAGATCCTCAGATCTCACCCTCCTGAGTAGCAAGGATTACAGGTGCAAGGCACTAGTAATCAAAAGAATATTCATGAGATTGGATTAGGGTGCACTCAGAGACACTCACTGTAATATAATTACCTCTTTAATGTCCTAACTCCAAAACAAAATCACATTCTGCTTTATTGGGGATTAGCACTTCACCAGTTGAATATGCAGGAGAAAAAAATGCAGCCCACATCAGGTGCACTTAGGCAAGCTTATTAGAAATGACAACTCATCCTGCAGCCTTGATCCCTGGAAGATATGGCCAACAGTGCTTTTTACTCCCACCTTTCAGTCAGCTGGCTGAACTCAAGCTCCCCAAAGGTGACCCCCAAGTATTCCCAAAGGGGATTCCACACATCTGCTAGAATCTTCTTGCAGTGTCTCACTGGGGCCATTGCAAAGCCTTTCTTCAAAATTACTTCTGCTTTTCCTATTTCCCTAATTCTGACCAGGTGCCCATGAAAAAGCATTGCATTTCTCTTTTCCTATAAGATGGTAAGTGGCAGACCCAGATCCTCCTCTCCCCATGTTTTGAGAGAAGCAGGGTTTTGCTCAGAGGTTTCTCCCACTCCATCTGCAGTATGTGTTCTCACCATGGAGTGCAATTGCTCCACGCTGGCAATTTCCGATCACACGGTCAACTGGAGAGTTAATGATCCCCCTTGCTGCCCTTCTACTATCCCTTCTGCTATTCATCGTTGGATGAAGCAAAGTTGGTCCCAGTTGCAGTAGACGAACAAAATCTTCAAGCAACAGTTCTTTCCAATGTGGTCACAAGTCCTGTGAGCATAGACTTTCTCCCATTTCAAGAAGATACGACATTAAAGATCCTAATTTTAAGACATGAGATTGGCGATGGTTTTCACCTGATACATGAAATCTGCATTTTTAGATTATTATTTAATTCCTAGTGTCTTTAAATAGCAAGCTTTCTGCATTTCTTTGTATATTTCTAGTTGGGGACTTATATTCTGAGTATGTATATCTTATCATCCCACAATAATATAAAATTAGAAGAGCAAGAGAGAGGGATGAAGTAGTACATGCCTATAATTTTAGCCCTTGGAAGGTTGACATAGGAGGGTCACAGGTTTGAGCCAACCTAGTGAATTCTAAGACAGCTTGGGCTATAAAGGGAGATTCCCAATTCAAAAAAGAAAAGAAAGCAACAAAAAAAAACAAGTAAAAATAATTTAAAATCATGCATTTCTTCATTTAAGAAGCATGTAGGCATGAAGTGACAAAGATGGCACAAAACCTTAGGGACACAAAAGGAAGAACACATAGTCAGCTGGAGAAGAGAGGAAAATAAACAGGTACTGTTTAGAGAACACAACAGTTCTCAAACCTGAGCATTCATCACCGTCTCTTAGAGGACCTGTTGAAGCTTCTTTGTTGCATGCTTCTCCCAGTGTCAAATGCAGTGGGGCTGAGCATCAGCGTCTCTAATACATTTTCTGGTGCTGCCAGGGCATCTGGCACAGAGAAGACACATTGAGAAGAACTGATCTTGAGTTACAAGAGTTCAGAGCCATGGAGGCTCTAAGCAGGTTGTGGTACAGGAAGGTCAGAGAGAGAGCTCCACAGGAGTAAATTGTAAAGGATGAATTAGGAAGGATAAAGATTTAGTTCTAAAGGAACTAAAAAAAAAAGCAGAGAGAATCCATATGGCTTTAAAAGTCATAAAATATAAGTAATCCTATTTGCCTAGTACAGAGTCTGAGTTTGAAATAGCTACAGGACATAAATGTACAAGACCTATGGGTCATGTATCTTACTCCAGTTCATTTGCTTATTGTCCTTACTGTTGATTCTGTAGGTGTTTATTAATCCTAAGAGATGGACTTTCAAGCTGGAAGAACAGAAGCCTGGTAGAACTCTGCCCACAATTATCTGTCTCCAAAAGATATTTCTTTTTCGTTTTCCAAAAGTGAGGGGGAAAAAAACCCTTTTATGACAAATCCTACTAGAGGTGATAGAAGAGTAGAAAGGCTACATTGATTGTACATAAGCAGACATGGTGAGGTAAATTTTTGCTACTAAACAATGAGCCACAGTGAGGAAGTGCTTGAGTACCTTGAGAATTCCATTGATTTGTTGCGATTGACTTTTGGTAAACCCTAAGATTTACATACCTGTCATGGCCCCAGCCACTCAGAGAGGAGAGAGGATGGGCCTAATAAGGAGAAATTGGGTTGTAATAAAATGTGCTCCATTCCTTTCTCTCTAGGGGAAGATGACGATGATGATGAATGTGGGGAGGAGAAGCTGCCCTCCTGTTTTGACTACGTGATGCACTTTCTGACTGTGTTCTGGAAGGTCCTATTTGCCTTCGTCCCCCCTACTGAATATTGGAATGGCTGGGCCTGCTTCGTTGTCTCCATTGTTATGATTGGCCTATTGACAGCTTTCATTGGCGACCTGGCTTCACACTTTGGCTGCACCATTGGCCTGAAAGATTCTGTGACTGCGGTCGTGTTTGTCGCCCTTGGAACTTCAGTGCCAGGTAAAAGATTGTTTCATGTATCATTCCTCCACAATCAGAAGCTCATTTGCTTTCTAAATCTCTTTCCTTCCTAGAGTTTTGAAGGCTGTGATAAGAAACTAGTCCTATGAAAGGGTGAGAGATCCAAAAACTACCTCTACTCCGAACTGGCACTTCTCAAGGTTATAAAGCTGGCTGGTATCATCATACTGACAGGAGCATATTCCTAGAGGGGTCTCCACGCCTGCAGGGAGAAAGCAGATTTGTTTGATGGATCAGTTTTTTTTTTTCAGATCAGCCTCCCTTTACATAAAACACTTTCAAAACCACAAAATTCAGAGTCTGAAAGAACAAAATTTCTGTCTTGTATATACGTAGTAAAGTTTGGGTGATTTCCGTGAAACTCTGTATTCATAGGAGGAGCTGAGACACACTTCCTGGTTACTTGAAAAACATTTTGTTGAACCTGATATTAAGGAAAATAAGTAAGAAGTGGATCAGAGAAGGAAAAAGTAATCTTGTCAAAAGTCAGTAAGCTAAGTATACATTCTGTGGACATAGCTTTGTGCAGGCATAGCTTCCTGTACTCCTTGTAAGTTGAATTTTTCTTCCAAGCTACAATTGTAGTTAACTAAGCTTATTCAGAATTCTGAGTTAGGATATCTTAGTAACACATCATCACCCCCAAATGTTAACAGCAGCAATTTCCCAGTTTTTGCTAGACATCAAGAACTACCTAGGAACTTACTGGAAAAAAATACCCAAGTCTGAGACCCCTCTACAACCTATGGAGCTTTAACCTTAGGTTAAAGAACAATGTGCTTTAATTCACCAATGACTCTTGGTAAACCATCATAAATTATTATAACTGAAATACTGGATTTATTCCCCAGGACTGGCGGACATCTGGACAGACATCAAGTCATCATATACTTTCCATGTCTACCACAGTCCTAATTCTAAAACTTGCCATTTTGGCTTCTGGGTTGAGCCTGAAAACGAATGGTATCTATCACATCTAGTCATGCTTCACTTGATGATGGTGACATATTATGATAAATGCACAATTAACTTACTACATTATTGCAAGAGCATCAGCGTATATTTCCTCCAACTAATATGACTATGATGTCACCAGGCAATGTAACTTTGCAGGACCACTGTTCATGTACAACATCTGTCACTGACCTAAGTGTTCTTAAATGAAATATGACTATGTTTTCACTACAATTTACCAGTTATTCTTCATTTATCATCTCAGTGACAAAGATGTGTTTACCACTCAGAGCTTCAGTTTCTTCATTTAAAACAGGGCTAGCACTATACTTAATGTACAGAATTGTGGTTAAGACTGGAGAAAACATTGGAGCATAAATTATGTATCCAGTAAAGCATCTGGGATATAGAAAGCACTCAATAAAATTGCAGCTCTTAATATTACTGTTTAGGTTGAATAATTTAGGATGGTCTAACCAATCTATAGCTACCTTGCATAACCCAGCTGGCCATGATGAAGTCTGCAGATTTATGCTAATCAGCCACAACAACTGGCTGATCACTTGAGAGAGTCCTGTTGAAGAGGCTCCAGATGATTTGGGTATCCAATCAGTGACTGGACAGTGCAGCAATTTAGAGATGTGTTTGTGCCCTCTGTGATCATCAGCATTAGTCTTCTCCATGAGTCTAAGAGAAGAGCAGACTCTCTCAAACCCAGCTCTCTTCCCGTAGCTCTGTATCTGGCCTCATTTTTTTTTCTTCACCCAAACGTACCAGAAGTTAACCATACAAGAGGAAAACTTAAAATATTTATATCTTATAACTGAAGAAATGAAGCATCGTTGTATCCATCTGAGGAGAAGATAGGAAAACACACTTTGGGGTTTTACCTTTCTTCTTAAGGACGTGTTAAGTCCATCTCCCGGAAGCACTCTTTGAAGTTACTATCTCAAATGGACTTTTGAGTCAGCACACACTGTTTGCCTGGCTTTATAGCCCTTGAGGAGAAAATGAGCTAATGATGACGGTAGAGGCCAATGGGGTCTCAGATGTCAGCTGTCATGTCATGTTTGCCCTGTTGCAAATGCAGCAGCCATTCTACCAAATGTATCCCTTGTTTTCCAATGGAAAAAGAATACTTTTCCAACCTCAAATCCTTGTTCCTAAGTATGTTTCTTACTTACAAATAACATTCCAAATGGTGCCTCTGTATTATCTCATTCATTACATTTTATTAAATTCACTTGAAGCGCATAGCAGCCATGTGATTAATTTTTTTTTCTGGAATGTGAAATGTTGGTTATAGTTAACCCTGATGCCTAAAGAATCATGTATTGGGTCCTAAAGACCAACTCAGAACCCAGGTAGATATCTAGAGAGACGAAAACCTGTTTGGGGAGAATCCATCCGAACCATTAGTTGTTGAAATGACTTCCCGGCATTGCTATAAATGCTTCTTATCAAGACACAGATCTTCTTGCTGTGTTATGGGGACAGCGCCTATAATTTGCTGCAATATTAACTGGGCAGTATATGCCCTAAACAATAAACTCATAAGTAATTTCAGATAATCAAGCATTTCCTGCCTCAAAAAGCTAGGAAATTAAAGAAGATGCTAGGTGAGCATAATATTTATCCTTCAACCCTGCTAATTCAGAGCCATGTTTCATTATATCCCCTGACTCCTAAAGATAAATTAAAATGATGCTATTGGTTCTACATCTAGAAAACTCAGTTGCTACAGGTAAAAGAGCTTAAAACAATCATCTCCACTTACAGTCTGCTATTAGTCAGTATTGGCCCAGGGACCCAGCATCCTCTCTAGGCTGCTATCTTGGCACTTTTCCTAAAGTAGAAGCTTTCCTGCACAGTGCCTGGTGAACTTCTGCCTGCTTCAAGGTGAGGCTCTTAGATACTTAGATTGTGCTGTCAGACAGGAGTTGAAAACTTGCCTATGCTACATATCTCATTATGCCACATATCTCATGAAGAGTACACTTTACGGAATTATTCAGCAGTCTATTGGAAAAAGCTTATGACTTTCCGGGTAAGACAGTGGCTTCCTCATGCTAGCGGGTACCCAAGGCTCATTAACTCCCACTAGCACTGAGGGACTTACAAAGGTTCTCACAAACCCCAGCCTTAGATGGGCCTATACCCACTGGAAGATCCACTCCCGCGAATAGCGGATGAGTCTTCTTTTCCCTGAATCATCGGTTCTGCAGGCCTTGGTGTCTGGAGAAAAAGGCTTCCAAAACAGTCTCTTCCGACTTCGGTATGTTGAAGAGAGCCAAGAGTCTGTTGTGTAGCCCAGCCCATTCTTACTCCCTATACAGAGCCATCACAGCTTACATGCCATTTGTATGACAAGGATTGACAAAAATATCTCTCCAGCCCCTGGCTTCTGTGCCAGATTCATATACCCACAGCTGGATGTCTAATCCACAGCTCAATATGGCCTCATTCAAAATAAAGTGATTGGTTTCTGCTACCTAGTGACCTCACTTTTCTATTAAACCTGTTCTTTCTAGATCATGCCTTTCTTGGGAAAACAGTATCATCATCCAACCGGGTGTCCTGGGTTCCTTTTTCCTCCTCCCCACACTCAATTCCTCTTTAACTTCTTCCCTCTACAGTTGCCAGTTGATCAGCCCCACTTAGCTCTTCCTCCATCTTCCTATAGTCTACACAGCCACTTCTTTGCACCCAGATTCTACAGTAGTCTCCTATTGTCTCTCTCCCTAGTCTTGACTCAGTTCGGGTCTTGTATGACTTACTTTCCCCTGGAGCTTCCCTTTGCCATTTGCTTACTACAACACCAGTAAAAGTTTTTAAATGAATATTCTAGGCTGGACCTTAGCCCCTAGCATTTTAAGATGTTTTTTCTATTTCTTCAAATATTTTGAATAACCCTTTATCCTTTGAAATCTGACAGGTAGGAAAGCATATACTTTAGATACTTGCTGAGGCGTTCTCCATTATGGATACAGAGACTTTTTTAAAATGTTATTTTTAACTGTGTTATTTTTAAATCACAGCACTCCCATGCTTGTAAATACCATAGGAAGAATTTGGTATGGAACTGGTGCTACCTATTGTTTGCATGTGTTCTTGTGTTATGGGGTCGTATGCTCATTGCAGAAATGGTGAAAAGAGCTTTAGAATAGAATTCAGAAAGCTGGGCTTCTGGTCATTACTCACTGTGTGGCTGGAATCGATTTCTGGACTCTTGTAGCCTCCGTTCTCTTGACTGTAAAATAGACATTATACTACATGGCAATTCAAATAGGATCAATAAGATGATTAAGTAATATGTAGGTGTCACAGTACTTTGTCTACTGGAAACTGGTGTAAGGAGCAGGAAATAATTACCTCATTCTTCACACACCGAATTCAACTCTGAAAAAAAATGGAATAGAAGCGGTCAGAAGATGAGGATAAATGGGGAAAGTTCTATGAGCAAGGGAAGAAATTTTTTAAATTTGCCCAAAGTACATGTGTGTGTGTGTGTGTGTGTGTGTGTGTGTGTGTGTGTGTGTGTGTGTGTGTGTGTGTGTAAGGCATGAGCACAGTTTTTATATTACCTTACTATATCATCAGTGATACGAAATGATTTCACTTCCTCCCAACTTCTATTTATTTATTTGGTTCCCTGTATTCTTCTCAATATAAGGGTTTTTTATTTGTTTTTCACTGAGCTAGGATACCCTGTATTATTTTTATAACAGAAAAAGCAGGAGGTACTAATGGTTTACATTTTTCAGTTTTTAATTTCCTGGCTTCTAGTAACTCTCAAAACTAACATTTTCTGTATTACATTTAAGTCACAAATACTTTACAGATTACCACCTCTTGCTGCTCAGTGGAGCCTAAAATAACATTTAGAGATTTACAGGTCATAGTCTGTAGTCTTAAGAAGGCATGATGCTCCAAATGACACTCATGGAGGTATATAGGGCACCATAGCTATGGGTAGATACAGAAATGGCCCTCTTGTAAGGTAAATATAGTTTTCTGGAGAATGA